ACCTGGTTTGCAATTATTTTTGAGCACTTCAGTAATTCAACAGAAGCCTTTATTAAATGGTGTAAACAGCTGCGCTTCATGGAAATTCAGTTCAGTGTAGTAATGCATTTTGTATCCCACAGTCCTGAGTTATCCAAGGAAGAACTAGGCTTGGCTTAGACTTTGCTAAACAACCAGTTAGGTTTCCTGATCTCTTTTGCCATTCCTTCATTCCAGAGTCACATCTCCAGTAGCCTAACCTAAGTCCTCTCATGAGCTTTACTTTTAAAATTCAGTTCTCGAGTGCAGCACACCTTAGATCTACTCTGTTATAATCCTCTCTCCTTAGAAATGTTGAAGCAGTTGCTGGAAGCAACCAAGGAATCCTTTTTAGTTAAGTTAAAGATATTCTCTGGAGTGCAGTTATTCCTATTCAGAAACCTGTTTTTTTTTTTCCTTTCTCTTAAGATGGAGAAAGATAAAGATGTAGATGTGTGGTTTTTCTTTATTTTTCTAATTATATTAAAAAGTCTCTACTCTGCTTTCAGGAATACTGTTGTTACTTTAAAACATTAAGAATGGAAAAAAGTGAAGTGACAGCTTTTTCTGATACCTGTATGTGCCGTATAAGTAGGCTTACTTCACAACAAGCATTTGTGAAACAGCTTGAGCAGGAAGGGACTAGTTCATTTCCGTTCATGGTGATAGTTCCTTTTGTAACTGTTGTAAAATGGGGTTTGAATTTGCTTAAAGCAAAAAAAGACGATGCAACATTTTTGAGGTGCAACAGTAAATGCAAGTATACTGTGACCATGGCTGTACCTTCCTATCTATTTCATTCCTTCTTTTTAGTTGAAGTTTAACTGGTGCCTGTAAAAAGTCTGTCTACTCCCCTTTCCTAAATATTGAAGGATTAAGTGTTCTTTACTTGCTTCTCCCATTTAATATTAAGTTACTCAGTGCTTATTTGTCTAGCATGCAGTCCACTCAGTCTCTAAGTTGTCCAAGACTTCAAAGACTAATTAGAATCAAATTTGGTTTGTAATAGTTTTTGACCCACTTCTCTCAAAAGTCCATTTCATTTTGACTACAATGCCAAAAAGTACCTTGGCATTATCTAATAAATTACCATTTAATTTGCATCATCATATCTGAGGGTCAAGTGGGCTTTATAAAGCTCATAAAACTTGAAACACAAGTGGAACAATTTCTTCTATTAAAGTGTGTATGTGCCTTTCTTTACCAGTTCATGGGTTTTATGGTAAGCCACATACATAATACTCAGCATGAGTATGTGATTCACTGCCTAGTGATGAGTATAGCAAGCCTAGTTCCAAAAGACTCCCCGGTCTAAGAGGAGTTTTTGCCACGTATGTTTGAATTTTACTCAGTGACAAATGCTGCTTGGAGGAAACACAGAATGTAATTACTGAATATGAACTTTCACATCACAAACTTAACTCATTCACTGTTTGTATTACATAGGCATGTTAGATGCAGTTCTCTTGTGTTTTATTTTTTGTTATCAGACTTTACAGCAAAATTCAAGTTGTCAGACTGTTTTTTCTTATTATCTAATGGGGTAATGATAAAAGCAACTTCTGTCGGTATTTGTGGGCATAACCGTGGCTGCTGTGATAGTGCTTGGTTATTGGCTTTAGTAACTGATGATAGAGGCTATAGTATAATTGAGCAGAGATGAAGTTTCTGACCCAGTCCAGAACACTCTGGAGGTCTTCGTCTGTCCTGTTTTCCTCATAACTAATGCTCTGTATGGCTATCTTCCTGCATGTTTGGTTTGGGGTGGTACAGGTGACAATATCTGATAAGAAGCCCCGTTTTTGAGGTTTTCTGTTATATTTACTAGGTTTATGTTTTTGTTGTGTTGTATGTTTGTATTTTTTTCTCTCTACTCACTATTTTGGATTTTGCCACTTCAGGTAATCTCAAGGATTTAGGCAACTGGTTTCTAGATTCTATGCCACATGGCCTAATATTCATAGTTTCCCCCAGGCCAGGGGGAAAATCCAGTGGCAGGGAGCATGTAGATATGCCTTACATGGATACAGTGCTGTGAAATGCGCGCAAGAAAAAACTGAGGGTAGTAAGCTTAACTGAGACAATCTGAATATATAACGTGTGCAGTGATGGACGCTTCTGCAAACGGGCAGAGCCTTCTCCTTGAAGGCAGCGAGAGTGTTCTCTTCTCCCTGGTGCAAGTAATAGCTCATAAAAAGAGGAAACGATCGCTCCTTTCTTTAGGATAAACTAAATTTAGCACTGTTCGTGGCGCTGAGTTCTGGAGTATGCAGCAGGTGTGTGCAGTCTCTCCTCTGTGTTCGGGAGGAGTAGGTCAAAATGCTAAAGATCTCGAAAGGCTGAACTCGAGGAAGATCTAAACATATAGCAGGAAAAACAGAGCCCCAGGGTAGATGGTTTGGAGGTTGGAAGGTTTCAAAACTGAAGAGTCATTAAGCACAAAGAGCTGAGGCAAGAACTAGATGTGGCTGACTGGGTCTTAAGGTAGCAGGAGGCTAAGCTACATCTTAATATACATTTAAATCTGATGACTATTTACTTTTTGGGCAAATATAGGCCTCCTTTCTTCCTTCCGCCTTCACCCCTTGTGGACTCCGTGACAAATGTCCACTTTGAATGTATTTCTAGAGTTGAAAGCAAGCTTGTGATAATCACAGGTGATTTCTGTCTTTCCGTGTGTGAAGTTAGCTGGTGTGGAAGAGGCACAGATGGAACAAAATTCCCAGGCTGTTTCTGTCAGTATTTACTTTAGTTTTTGGCTTTGTGCAACATACAACATGAGTGATAGAATTATTAAATAAGCTGCTTTTTTAAAAATATTCTCAGTGGGTGGTGGCTGATTTGGTTAAATGTGTCTAGTTTCCCTTAAGTTGATCTCTTTTTGGAAAGCAAAAGTGTTTAGACACTGAGGAAGAGAAAAGCTGCACAGGAGACCAGTTTGAATTATATTAGCCAGGTATGTTTAATTTTATTTGATTAGTAGAGTGTATGTGGAATAGAAAATGCTGCTCTTCCTCTATCTGAAAAAAAACATTCCAACAACTTCTCCCTGGCTTGTGCAGCCACTATAGTTTTAACATAGATTTGGACTGAAGCCCAATCCGGGGCAGTGAAACACTTGGAAGAATGGAGCTTCCGATTACTTGCCACTCAGTATATTCCCACAATAAGAAAAAATCCCGCTAGTTATCTGACATGATGCTTTAAAATGATTGGGACATCTGATGGGTCATCTGAATTCTACACTTCAGCTGCTTTTTGTGAAATGTTTTCTCATATTCTTTGAAACTCAGCCTTTTGCAGTTCGAACTGGTATGCCACCTAAACAAGCACCTTCCTCTAACAGTGGCAGGAAGATTCTTGAAGTGGTTCTTCAAGCAGTTGATTCCAAAAAGAATGCTTGATATCAACTCTGACTTTGATGAGAAAGTATTTATATTCCTTGTACAGAGCCAAACTTCATATTTCTTCTCATATGCTTCTGTGAAGAAAGTGATTTTGACTTGGAATTACTGATAACATGTAGTTAAAACGCTGCATATGTCTGTAGGCAAAATTTCAATCATTTAAGTTTTTTTTTTTTAAGGTTCACCTTTTCTAGCCTCTTCAAATATGTAAGAAGGCCTTTGGATGTCAGACCTGAATTTTTTGGTTTTTACAATGGCATAAAATTAAATAAAACATATAATAGTTGGGGTTGGAAGGGACCTCTGGAGATCATCTGGTCCAACCCCCGCTGCTCAAGCAGGGTCACCTAGAGCACATTGCACGGGACTGTACCCAGGTAGGTTTTCAATATCTCCAAGGATGGAGACTTCACAGCCTCTCTGGGCAACTAGATTCAGTGTTCAGCCATTCTCACAGTAAAACTTTTTTGCCTGAATCACAGAAGAAACACAAATCAATTAGTTCAAGCTTGTCTTCGATAAATTACTGGATTGTATTTGTGCAACTTCCTACTTTTTATGTTCCTCTCTGAGTTTAATGTTAAAGTCTCTCCAGAACAACTGGTTATAAGCAGCAGCCTTCTAGCTGTTGGGTATCTGTTCTTTGCCTGGAATGATCTAGCTGTTTTTATTATGTGAAAAATAGATCATGTGAACAGAGGAGTGGAAGTCGTCGTCATCGGAAATAGTCACCATAGTGGTGGAAACATCTTAAAAGAAATCAAAATCTCTGAAAAAGCTATTTCCTTTAATGTTTTTGGCTGAAATATGTTCCTGTTTAGGAGATGACTGATAACACCACCACCAAAAATACTGTTAGAAGTATGCAGTAATTCAGTAAGAAGTAATTAAAAATACTTTATGGCCATCTGATCTGATTAACAGATGCTACAAGAACCTGAAAATGGTGCATCTTTGTTCTGAAGATATTTAGGTAATGTCCAGTCACTTGTGGCTGTTACCTCGAATGTAGGAATAAAATGACCTTTTAAAATCCTTACTGTGAGGTTCTGTACTTAGAGTATGAATAAATATCTGTAAAAATGTCCAGCCTCAAAGATAACTTTTGGCTTAGAAATCAGACTTGTGATCCTGAGGTATGTGTGTTTTAAAGCAGTATTACAGAATTTTGCCATTAGACTTTATACAGTCAGGTGTGGAAGCTCAGAACTAAGCAAGCGATATGTATGTGGGTGTGTATTTTTAAACCCTGAAGATATTTCACTTCCTCTAGTCTCTAACTAATCATAACAAACTCTTGAACATATTTCTCCTAAACGTGAAGTCCTTCATTAAATCGGCTGTAGTTGTTTAGGGGTTGAACCCTAGGGCAGTCCACAGGAACAGAGGAAAAACTAGATAAAAATACTAATGTTGCTGGAAAAATTAGGATCCTTTGAAACTTTAATAAATGAAGTAAATACTGTTTTTAATATAAGCAGTTTTTGCTCAATGTGTCCATATACATTTTAAACATCTTTATCTGCTGTGTAGCACTGCAGTGCTAATGATCACTTTACTTCCCTTTTTAATCAGGACAGAGCTTGGGATATGGCTTTGTGAACTATGTGGATCCCAAGGATGCTGAAAAAGCTATCAACACGCTGAATGGATTGAGACTTCAAACTAAAACAATAAAAGTAAGTAGAGATGATTACGTGTTAAAGGAACTGAAATGTCTTGATTTCTTGATGATCAGAGGCGTGATTCGTTTCCCCTTTCCAAGTGGAATTTAAGCATTCCTCTCATGTTGGTTGTATAGGCTTGCTCTCTTCACTGTGGAACAGATTGTTAGTTGGTCCTTAGCTTTAAACAGGCTTTATTTAAATTTACAGAATTAGATTCTGGTTATATTGAAGACTTGTGGTTAGCTATAGAGAAGTTAGATTTTTATACACTCAATTTGTTAACGCTTTGGGTGTAAGCTTGATCTGTTTTAACTGAGAAATAGATTGTATGTTACATGCATGATTACATGCAGTGGTGCATTTCTGTAAGTCTGAAGAGATTGCACTGTTTGCTTCTTTTTTACTTAACATGATATGAATCGCTTTTTAGCGTTTTCCTTGTTTCATGGTGGTGGTGGCGGCTTATTTTCAGCATACTTCGTTTTAAGGTTTTTTTAAAGTAACTAGTTTGGCCACAAAGAATCATGAATTGCTGGAGTCCTAGGGTTATGGGTTCTTTTGTTTTGTTTCTAGGGTTCATATGTCTGTTCGACTCTAGTGCTTGGGATTTCTGGTTTTTCATTTAGTGTATGTTGTCACCCCTTCACCTCTTTTCCTAAATTTAATTAGGCAGAAAAAATTTCTAACAGCAGAAGCAATCTCTAAGTTAATGCTTTTTATCAACTGCCTCTTCTTGCTCTGCCCCAAGTACATTTTCTTCTTGCAGGCAAACTAGCTTAAAGTTTCTCCAAATTCATTACCTGCGTTATGGTGGTGGGGAAATGGCTTTTAAATTAGCATCTGGATTTAGATGCCTATTTCAAGGTTCATTTTATTAAGATGCGCTTTGAAATGCTCTTTTAAACAATTATTTTCAGAAGAGTGACAACTCATTCCTCCGAGCAATTGTCTGGGCTCTGTAATCTCAGGAGAGGAGATGAAATAAAATCTTTCAGGGAAAGCTGGCTTTTGAACGTGATTCAGAGGTGTTAGTGCCTGAAGGCATCACATGAGCCCACTGTCCACTCTTCCACATTAAACAGCGTGATAATGCTAGTGACTGGCTAGTGACTTGGATGGTGACTGCACCCTGAGTGGAGTCAAACGTGAGCTGTAAGATAAAGCTTGTTTCTGCAAGGGTGTGATCTTAAGCAGCCTCGACTCCCTTTACTTTTATCTCAGAATCATTTTTAAAGATGGCAGTGGTTATGATTAAAATGCCCTAACAGTTCTGAGTTTGTAAGACTTAAAATGCAGTACGTTATTTGAAACTTATAAATACTGCTGTTTATCAAAGGCTGAATCACTACTCGCAATAGCAATGGATGGAAGACATTGATAGATGTGTAGTTGCAAAAAGCTTCCTGTGTGCCTCTAGTAGACTCTTTGCCATGGGCAGACTCTTCCTGAGAAAAACTGGGGAAGTCGTTTAACTCTCCAAAAGAGCATGTAGTTTCTGAAGCTATTGTCTTTTGTGTCATGGGAAGTGGAATTGTGCTTTAGTAATGTTGCAAGTACATTGTGTCCTGGCGTTTAATGTGGTGTTGGCACAAATTTTAAAAAAAAAGAAAGAAAAAGCTGCTGTCAGGGGGTGATAAGCTGAAAGTTCTAGGGGTTAAATAGCCAGACACAAAAAGAAGAAAATGCTACATATAGAGAATCTAACCAGGCCTCCCAAATCAAAATAATCCCCTAAGTTGGTGGTTAGTGTGTTGGTTTATGCTCCCAGTATATGAATTAATAATGCTTCTTCACTTTGCTAAGAAATAATGCGAAAAGGCACAGTAATTCTACAAATAAAAATTGATTTTTGAAAAAGAGATTGAGGGGAAGTGAAGATTGAGTGGATGGGTATAGAAGATGACACAGTTGCTTTTCCTTTCTCATTATATATGTGCATGCATGTGCACATATATTTAGAAATGTGTGTGTGTGCATCTACAGCTATCTGTCTACCTACAAACATACATATACATATATATATATATATAGGGATTTTATGCCATAAGCCAAAATGATAACAACTTCACCGAAATAAGTAAATCATTGTCTAGGTAGAAAATCTGTGACTGCTGCTTGTTCAGCTCAAATGTTCATTTTTGGTTAAGTGTTCAGTTCTAGCTAACTTCAGCAGCAGCTTTCAGTGTTAGCATGCATGCATGACTTGGGAGCAACACAGGTTTTTCCCTTCTCCTCTCTTCCTCTTTTCCCATTTCTGGTAATGTTTCAGTAACTGCAGGTTCTCCCAAGGCAGGTGTTAGAAGAAGCTGTTTTTACCTCCTCCCACGCTGCTGGAGGCTGGGGCATCCCTAATCTCTTTTGAGACTGAGGCGTTTGTGTATGAGAAGTGTGGCAGTTACTTGAAATACGGTTAATTGGGAGCATTTACCTTCAACTGTCACCCAACAGAAATACCCGGCCTCCTGTGAAGCCCTTTCTGATTAGCATATTCCTCAGGTCAGTCCTGAAGCTAGACTGAGCAGAGGTGAGGTTGATGTCTTGGGCCTTTGTTGCAAACAAACACCTGGGGTGGAGCGTCCTTTCTGAGCTTTCTGCACCAGGACCTTTGCAAAGCCAACTTACAGTTGGTAGTCCTGGATAAAGGTCTAGAAATTGCCCTTTATTAAGATAGCATTGACTGGCTAACCAATCTTTACCCAGTTAGTGCTTCTTAAGAGTCGTATTTAGTAATGTTTCCTTGTCTTTGAAATTCTTTGGACTGTTAGAGTGTTTACATGGGTAATTATCACCTGTCATATGAATAGAGATTTAAGAAATATTTTATCTGAAGTATTAAATCTGTGGGTTTTCTTCCCACTCCTTCCTAGCTTTGCATATATTAAAAAGAATAAGGCTTAACATGTAATGTTATTCTAGCAGGAAGTTGGCAGAAAGTTTATTTGACAAATTTTTGGCTACACTGCAAAGATATCCTGCTTTGCCATAATTATCACTTAACTGCCCTGCTGTAGAAGGTTGTGTAACGAAAACAGTCATGATTTCAGTAGAACAGCAAATACTGCTTTGTCAGCATTAGTAGTGCCAAAAAGTGTGCAGTTGGGTAAGGAGAAACTTGAAGGGAGGGAGGTGCCACAAGTTTCATTAATACATTCTGAGAAAGGATGTTCCTGAAACTTGGCATTATGCAGCTTACTTTCACTTGATGCTGTGAAGCTTTACTTAGCTTTGCAGTAGGATTTATTTAAAGGAGTTGTACTGTAAATTAACTGCTCAAGACCTCTACCTTTATGAACCTATGACAGTGCTCTTGAAAATGCTGAAGAGGTTAACATGCTAGCCTGTTTCCTAAATTAATGCAACAGGTAAAGGTTATCTTGAAATTACTCCTTCCTTCTGTACCCTTGTGTTTGTAGCAAAAAATTTTGGCAACGTAATTTTTAATAGGGTGTTTTTCATTGACTGATGTCCCTGGGGAACAGTGAGTTATATATGGATTGTGTAAAAAGCCCATTAGAATCCAGGGACAAGTGAAGGTGAGAAAGAAGTCCTCCTCACCACTTCTGTTTTGCTCTTCTAGCAGTAAAGAGCATTGATCTAGTGAATGGCAAAAAGGGATCCTATTTGGAGATTTAATTAAACCTACTGAATTTTATTGATGTTATCAACCAGCAGAGACAGGGAGAGAGCAAGGTGCCAGACCATTTAGTGGTCTTGACAGGGTAATTAAATACCTCAGGACTGTATTCTCAAGATAAAATTGAAATGCTCTAGCAGATCTGAAGCAGCAGAACAATTTGTCTTGGAACAAAGGTAAAGGTGTTTTTTCCCTTAACTTCTTCAGGAGTTACATAAATGGTAATTATACAGTCTTTTTAGCTATGTTATAGTTAAGCTTTGACAGCATTTCCATTTTAAACTCTCTCCTCACCCCACACACACTTTTTCACCTCCAGGTGAAACTTGTTCTTCACTGAGGCTTAAATCCCTTCAGACTCTGAATGTTACTTAACCAGCCAGCTTGAGCTGGTTAAGTATTTTTCAGATTGCAGAACAATATTGAGAGGAAGATTCACTTATGAATGCATACTGCTGTCACTTTCTGTAAACCGTATTAAAGCCACGTGATTGCTCCATAATGCCTAATCACTTTGAGGAAAATAAAGCAGACTGTCAGGCTGAATTTTAAAATGTTCTAATCCCTCCATGAGCAACTGCACAGCTTGTTTTCTGTTCAGGTCCTTAATGTGCTGTGTTGCAGCTGATCCGGTTTTCTCACACCGGGGGTCTGTGTCTCCACTTCCCCCGGGGCATGTGTCCTTTGAACGAATGCAGTTCTCCAAAACCGTGCTGAGCAGACTTGCTGCCACAACCCTCAGCAGAGCTGTATGGTCCTTTTGGAGCCTGCATGCGGAGTTTCCTACCCAGAAATAGAGTCACTGGAATGGGCAAATGCTGCTCTATAGGGCTAAGGGAACACTTTGAGCATGGCTCAAGAGCCAAGCTCTAAATAACCCTTCCATCCCCTCCCCCTACCCTCCCAAAACCCCGAAAAGCTGCCTGTTACTGGGACCAATAACATACATTCATATCCTCTGCCATCCCCAAGCTATGGAGAGTCCTTTAAGTAGGATACGGTTTTTTGCATGTCTCAGATACTGCAAATGCCAAGCATAGAAATCCATCTGGGTTTTTTTCTTTAATTCCAATATTCATTTTCTTTGTAAGAGTGCTTTTATTATTGTAAAATATAGCTGCTTATTTTTGCAATTACGCAAGTCTTGAGAGAAATTGATAGACCTCTGTTAAGCTAGTGGCTTTCCAATTTTTTTTTTGACAACTTAATTAGATATTGACTCTGGGCATCTCTTATTTCTGCTGTAAATACTTTTTACTGAAAGGTTTCATAAGTTGTAAAATCTTCTGGAGAAGAGAAAACCGCAAGTGGCATTATTGCACATGTGCTTCATGCGTTTCTGTAAGTGAATGATTAATGTGGGAGAGACCCAAGGAAT